GTAGAATCGTATTTGTCTCAAAGTAGTTAGCTGGTGGCAACGGTGAACTATCCGACCCAGTTCTTGTTACCTCAGGTGTCCTACAAGGCTCGATTCTTGGCCCTTTATTGTTTATAGCCCTTATAAATGACTTTGTTGCGCAATTGAAATATCCCAGCCTACTATATGCGGACGATTTAAAAAAATTCTCTAGAGTGGCTACGCTTGAAGACGCTGAAGGATTTCCAACGGATATCGAAGCCGTGGCGAGATGGTGTACTGATAATGATATGTATTTATAATTAGTGAATGTTTTTTATTGTCCTTTACTAGAAAAACAAATAAAATTTACTTTAAATATACTCTCAATGACCAAAAACTTAACAAGCAGAGTCAAACTAAGAATTTAGTGTAATTTTCGATGATAAATTGAGTTTTCGCGAGCATTGCAATTATGTTCTTATGAGAGGTGGTAAAATGCTTGGTTTTGTTCTGTGTTCACACCAAGCAGTTTAAAAAGCCAAAAGTATTGTATATCTGTCCTGTCTGTGTCACTAGTCCAGAGTGTTCTGGAATATTGTGCAGTCATCTGGTCTCCGTTTTACGCCGTACATATTAGAGAGCATTCAGAAAAGATTCTTGAGATGTCTCTTTTTCGTCATGGTTGCCATCGCAAGTTGGCCTCCTACACAGACAGGCTGCAGAAATTCATCATGGTTACCATGGAAACTAGAATCAAAAGGTTCGGACTTATATATCTACATAAAATAGTACACTATACGATTGATTCTCCGTCCCTGTTTACCATCGATTAACATACTCGTAAACACTCACTACAGAGCAAGTGATCGCAAGCCTAAACTGTTTTCACTCCAAGTGTACCGTAACAACACATCATATTACAACCCAGTGGTTAGAATATGTCGCCTCTACAATATTATATCCCAGTACTATCCAAATGCTGAAATTCTAGGTTCAAATCCACATGTCTTCAATAGATCTATCTATCTTCAATAGATACAATCGCACCTCAACTATCTATTATTTTTAATAGTAGTATCAAATCTGGTGTGTTTCCTGATTTAATGAAGCATAGTAAAGTAATACCTTTATTTAAATCTGGTAGTACACTGGACCCCGCTAATTTTAGACCTATTTCTGTACTGCCAACACTTAGTAAAATTTTTGAAAAAATTATTCTTGATCAATTGTTAATTTTTTTTAATGTAAATAAATTACTTCATAAAAATCAATTTGGTTTCACAAGGGGTCGCTCGACAACTGATGCTGGTGTTGAGCTGATTAAATATATATTTAATGCATGGGAGAATTCACAGGATGCTTTGGGTTTGTTCTGTGACCTATCCAAGGCCTTTGATTGTGTTCACCATGAAACATTAATCAGGAAACTTCAACACTACGGTATAAGAAATGATGCTCTTAAATTAATTATTTCATATTTAAGTGACAGAACACAAAAAGTTGTTATTCATAGTATGAGTTCTTCTGGGTCGATTGTACAAATGGGCGTGCCTCAGGGCTCAATTCTTGGCCCCCTTTCTGTTTCTTGTATATATTAATGACTTACCTTACATAGTAGGGGATAACCATGATATAGTATTATTTGCTGATGATACTTCATTAATTTTCAAATTAAAAAGACAGTTATTAAATTACGACGAAGTAAATAATGCTATAGCTAAGTTATTCAATTGGTTTAATGTTAATAATTTGCATTTGAATGGAACTAAAACTAAATGTATGAAATTCGTAACTCCTAATGTTAAACATGTCAATACTAATGTAATTTTAAATGGGGAGGAACTGAGTCTTGTTGATACCACCATTTTTCTTGGAATCACACTGGACGCAAAGCTTCAATGGCTCCCCCATATATCAAAACTAGCTAGCAGACTTAGTTCTGCAGCATATGCTGTAAAAAAAGATTAGAACTCTTACCAGTGTTGAAACAGCTAGAATAGTTTACTTCAGTTATTTCCATAGCATTATGTCGTATGGTATTTTGCTATGGGGACACGCGACTGACACTGAAATTATATTTATTTTACAGAAGAGGGCCATTAGAGCAATATATAATTTAAAACCAAAAGAGTCACTGAGACAAAAATTTAAAGAAATTAATATATTAACTCTGGCCTCTCAATACATTTCTGAAAATGTAATGTACGTACACAAAAATAAAAGTAGTTTTGAGAAAATAGGTGATATTCATTCTGTAAATACTAGGAACAGACACAAGCTGGTAGTACCAGTTACTCGACTCCACCGAGTCAGTAATTCATTCTTGGGGCGATGTATACGCTTTTACAACAAAATCCCAGAAAATATACAAAATTTGTCATACACAAAGTTCAAAAATGTTATTAAACTAACTTTGTATAAAAAGGGTTATTATAATATTAAGGAATTTATAGATGATAATAACCCCTGGGAAGGGTGATCGCTACCAAGCTATTTCTAATTTGTCTTGTGTTGTTGATTGTAAACATGATTGTAAGCTATTATTGGAAAAAAATAGTCCCGCTGGGTTTCTTGCTGGTTCTTCCCAGGACAGAGGTTTTTTTTGCGAACCAGTGGTAAATTAAAAAAGTGACCTTCAATAAGTATTTTTATAATCTACATTGAATAAAAAAAGTTTCTATTTCTATTTCTATTTCTATCCGTGATATTCAGAAATAATTGGTCTCGCCTGTATTATATTTCTACTTACGTTTGTTCTTGCTTTAAATCTGTAACAGGCCACTAATAATAAAAAATTTAAAATAAAATAAAAAATAAGAAATTGAAGCAAGCAAGAAGCGTGGGCAAAAAATGATTGCGATTTTTTCTTCCTCACTAGTACTGTCTGTATGATCCCACGTGATAAGCAAAAGGACAGTTAATTCTGAATGTTATATCACTACTTATTTGTCCAGTGTCTTTGAAAAAGTTAGGGGAAAACGGCCAAGAAATCGCATTCTATTGCACCATGATAATGCTTCGGTGCACGCCGCAAACAAAACAAAGTAATTTTTTGGCTTGTAAAAAGGTGGAGCTCGTGACCCATCCCGCACAGAGTCCAGACCTCAAACAATGCGATTTTTTTATTTTTGCGAAAATCAAAGATTTAATGAGAATAACATAAGAGGCCCTGATAGCTTTCAACCAGCACGTGAAAAACGTATACTCAGACCAACGGTCTTTATGTTTTCAAAAATGGTTTGTGCGAGTGAAGTTTACATATAAATTATTGTTTTACTTAAGAATTAGGGTCAGTTCACACCGAGACGTGACACAGCGCGCCGCGCACTTTTTAAAATAGTTATATAAAATATAACTTTATTACCTACACAAAAAGATACAATTTTATTGAGATAATTCAAAAATGCCCCGCGTCACTTTACGCCGAGGTGAGCCTCGAGATTGCTCGCGGCAAAGCGCGTCGCATCACGACGCTACGAAGCGGTGCGCTGCTAGTGACTTCACGATGCCCTCGCGACAAGACGTCGCGATGCATCTCACGGCTGCAAGCTGCACAGTGCGAAACCACTGGCCTCTTATTTTAAAGCATCAACAGAATATGGAATTCTGCTACGGAAAAACGAGACTGTTATCTAAACTATATTATTTTTTGGAGAAGGGGATCTAAAGAGCAAATTATAACTTAAAAAATTGTAAAGGTTCTCTCAGAGAAAAGTTTGAAGAAATAAATGTCATACCTTAGCTCAGCAGTATACCTAGGAAAATGTAGGTAATGCATGTACATAATTCTTTGAATATTAAGATAAACATCGTGTACATTCTTGTAGTGCTAGTTAATTTCTAGACTACATAGATATATCTCGTACTGGTTATTTTTTTTTGTATCGTACTGGTTTATCTCACTCTTTCGCCTTCACGACTATCAGACTCTGAAACGACATCCCTCTTAACATTAAAAAAAGCTCCCAACAAGTTCGTTTTTAAAAATCAAGTTCGTAAGCACGTGAAAATATCGTTGCAAGTTTGAACTAACACAGCTCTTATTTTCGTATATATATACATATTTGTTGTCAAACTGAAATACATAAATACTATACCGTATATATATATATATATACATATTAACATAATACGTAATAATAAATAAATAAATATAAATATAATTGTGAAATCTAGAAATTAAGTCTTATAAGACTACTAATCTAAACTTTTACAATAATCGGAACGGAATCCCAGAAAATGTTCAATGTTTATCAAATAACAGGTTTAAAAATGTAATTAAACAAAAACTGTAAATTTGGGATTTGAACTTATAACCGTATATTATAACCGTAACTATATATATATATATATTATTTTTTTTTTATAACTATATTATATTTATACGTGGTAGAGCCACGCTGCAGATACATTATGGTTGTAGCACGGATAGGTCGGCTCGACCGGGGACCTGGGACACGCTCTCACTCCCAGAAATCTAAATATTATTTAGGTTTCTGTGCTCTCACAGAATACCAGCGTAAAATAGCAGCTTAATACTGCAGTGTTTCGTATGCTGAGTGTAGAAATCCGGAGAACCTTTCTTACTGGAAACGTAGCATTGCATCTTAGTCCTCAGGGGTGACAACGCATCTGCATATTGATTCTTAATTGATATCAAAAGAGATGTCCATGGGCCACAGCATCCACTCACCGGCAGGTGGACTGTGTGCTCTTCTGTCACCCTTATTTTTTTAAACTTGACGGTAGACTAGATCGCGTATGGTATCCATTGGGCTGTAGCACTTACTAATCAAATGGACCATTACGACGATCGTTATTATGGATACAAAAAAAATCTTCGAACGTTAGGCATCTAAAATAATATTAAAAGTAAAATCGTATCGAAGTGAGCAAGGGAAATAAAAGTTTAAAAGTGTTCGTCATCTTGTTTGCACTGTGCTACATACGGGATATGTTTTTTATATAATAAATACATTTACACTTAAAATTTACTTAAAGTCATATTTGAACATATTAAGTAACTTAAACATAATTGCTCAAACGACATTTTCAATGGGTTTGTTCGAGTCTTCCGCTTCTGGCGCTGTACTGGTTACTTCTAACACCTTCTTACTTAGTTTATGTTTGACTATCTTCACAGGAACTGAAACAAATATTTAAAAAAAACCGAAATGTTAAATATGCGTGAAACGTTAATATATATAAGTTTCTATAAAAAAATTACAATCATCACTATCAATGTCGTTAAGTGCCTTAATTTATTTTTAGCGAAACGGACACATTATGAAATCACCGCGATGTTTATGCGTTCATCTATCATAGAAAACGATATCTTGCACTAGCCCAATTTAAGTAAGTACTGTTACGAGCTTGAGGTTCGTGACAATAAAAACTGCCGATTGAATTACTAAAATTTACACTTTTATTACCGAACACCAATTAAAACCTAAAATACACTAATAATTAAGCACACTTATTCACTTTATTTCGCTCCGAAGCTTCGCTTGTCTCGCCAAATTCAATAATGCCCCGATCACGGCTTGCAGCGTCTTTAAATACACGTTTTCCACCGAAACATTCCAGTAAATACGGCCGACCGACCAGGCGCAGAAAGTTCGAGGCGAAGAAAGCTTAATTCTTCTGTTCGATACTAGATGGCGCTGTTGGTGGAAAGTTCAAGATTGACATTTTCTACGAAGCCCTCTTCGCTCCTGTTCCCCGACCCGTAGTGCCGGTTCCAGACGTTAACTAAGACATGCTCGTCCCGAGCATTACCGTCCCCATAATAAAGCGCCAGGCGATCCACATGGACGATCTTAGGAGTCCCTCTTGCGCCTTTCTGAAACGGCTCCGCAATCTCAAGGGCTGCCCTATCCCATGGTGCACCAACATTGTACAGTTTCGATGCTCCTCTACGTGTCTGAGGTCCCTTCACAGCCGCACAACTTGTACATATGCGACACCAATTCTCGAAATCGTCACGATAATGGACCCAGTAAAACTGTTCTCGGATCTTCAGTAGAGTTCGTTTAACTCCCAGATGGACTCCTGAACAACCATTATGGTACAGCTGTAGAACATTCGGCACTTTAGCTTTAGGGACAACCATTTGTAAACGACAGCTGTCTTCTCGACCATTGTCCCATTTACGGCACAGGACTCCATCCTAAATCAGCAAGCTGTCCCATTGGGCCCAATAGCTTTTAGTGGTCGAACTCATCGCTGAGAGGTCGCTCCACTTAGGCTCGGTAGCACGGGCCTTCATCCATTCCAGAATCTGTTTGATGTCCGGATCTTCCTGCTGTGCATGTTGTAAGCTGTCCTTCCACTCGTTGCTGAGGTGGTCTGTCCTGAGCATCCTCACGGATACCACTTATTTACTCTCTTGCCTAGTACAGTGCTTGCAATCTTCAGGACAAGGTCTCCTTGACAATGCATCTGCGTTGCCATGTGATTTCCCGCTGCGGTGTTCAATCGCAAAGTCGTATTCCTGCTGCTGGGTGGTGCTGTTAGCCGCACAACCCTCTCGAGATTGATCACCTTCCCTTTTATAGATCGCTTAGGGCAGCTGGATCGAAGATGGCCTCTTTCCCTATAGCCGTAGCACCTTGGGCTGTATCCTTTATTACGATCGCAAACTGTAGCTGCCGCAACCTCCCTGACGCGATGGGAACGATGATCCTGCCGCACGGCTTCCACCTCCAGTGCATGGGCCAAGGCGTCCTTAAGCATTTCGTAGTGCCCGAGCCTCACAGCAGCTCTGACTTCAAGGTCGCGGATGCCGTCGATGAATGTCTGCACCAGGTTCCCTTCAATGAGCGCAGGTACAGACCGGTATGCTTTTCGCACCAGCTTCTCCGCCTCTAGAGCCCATTGCTGCAGGTTTTCATTGATGCGCTGCACGCGATTTTTAAGCTGCGCACGAAAGACGTATTCCAGGTGAGCGTCACCATATCTCGCCTCCAATGCCTCAAGGAGCTGCTCATAAGTTACTTCTTCACCGAGAGCTTCCGGAACAGTTAAGGCCTAGTCGCGCTGGTCTAGTGTGAGAGCAGTCATGGCCTGACTTTTATTCCAACCGTTCGCCTTCATAACGGCTTCAAACTGGATTTTGTAAGCTGACCAGGAAGAAGTTCCGTCGAACGGTGGCACTTTGAACCTACGTAGCGAAAATGTTGTAGCTACTACGGGAGCTGTAATTCCATCCCCCAGTTTAAGGTCGTCCAGCGTTTTCTTCACGTCAGCCATCACATTGTCAACCGGCTTGTTCACTTGGTCGATTCGGGTTTCAGCTTTCTCGATTCGGGTTTCAGCTTTCGGGATTTGGGTTTCGGCTTTCGGGATTTGGGTTTCATCTTTCGACAAGCGGTTGTCATGCTGAGCAACTCTATCCTTCACCTCCTTTATCACCTTCCCGAATGTAGCGTGAAGGTCCTTCATGAGGAGCATCTACTTCCGACAAGCGGTTGTCATGCTGAACAACCCTTAAGTGAAGTGAATTAAAGTGTTAATTTTGGTAATTCAATCGGCAGTTTTTATTGTCACGAACCCTAAGCTCGTAATAATAATGAATTAATTGGCTACTATTAAGCCCGGGGGGTCAACTGACGTAAACATTCATTTTTAAATTTTTTGTCTGGACATCCGGGCTTATCTTCGGAATGACTGAACCAATTGTAATGAAACTTTACACGAACAGGTAAAAAGTAATACTAGGATGGATCTGGGTTGTATGGTTGTTATCCTATAAGACTTTTTTGAAATAACGATAAAAATGGTCTTCGATTATCTTAATCTAATTAACTCCACATTTTTATCCATGCGAAGCCGGGGCTGGCCGCTGAATTACAATGGGTGCGTTTGGCAGAAAAAAGCGCTAGCAAGCGCTTGTAAGCAAAATGGCGATCGTAAGCGGTAAGCGATGTCAAATCGTAAGTAGCTACTTTCCTCCAGGACAAGATGTTAGTTTTAACGGGGAACCTAACCTAATTTAAATATATGTTTGAATATTAATTTTACTTTACTTTACTTCTAAAGTATTCATATTAAAAACTTACCAATCATGAATTTTTAATAACATGTATATGTTTATTCATGTCATTATACTACTTAAAACTAATATTGCACAAAACAACTTATAAACTCTACTTCAAAACAAACAAATTAAATAAGCAAAATGGCAGATTGTGTCAGCGCTACTGAAGTAGCAATCGTGTCCTGGCCGAAAACTATTTCAGCGCTTATAAGCGCTTGCTAGCGCTTTTTTCTGCCAAACGCACCCAATATTTTCGCACAGTGCATTGACAAGACGTTTAGCTGCAACTAGGGTTGCCACCCGTTCTATAACATCTAGTACTGTACTATATTTCAGTCAATTGTACTATATATTATGGAAAAATAATATAGTATGAAAAATGCTATATTTTTATCCTGACGCATCTGCGTTTTGATTCTTAATCGAGGATAAATGTAGGTGTCTATGGGCCACAGCACCCACTTACAATCAGGGAGACGGTTTGGTCATTTGTCATTCTCATTTCTATAATAAGAAAAATCCCTTAAGCTGGAGTAAGTAAGCCAGAAATACTAATGATAAATGTGATTTCTGACAGTAATGAAATGGTGAATTTAAACCTATTAATTTCTTTTAAATTATCACAGTCCGTTTCTCAATAAAAAAAAAATTGTACGTGTGCGAAACCAAGTTCACTCTTTTTTTAGATCTATTTCTATAAATAAATAAGGTTAATGCTCTTCTCCTTGCCAATGTCAACGCGGAAACTTACGAATAATATATTCTAATTAATGTATTGTAATATATGCAAACGATACCTATAGTAATAAATTATTTGTTGTAACATTACATAGTTATTTCTGAAAGTACCTAAGTATATTTTAGTTTAAACCTTTATTCATTTGTATTTTTAATGAAAATCGAGTTCCTACGAGTATTCCTGAACGCGACCCAGTTTTTTTATAGTACAAGGATGACAAAATAAATTAATAATAATATATTTATCTTTTCATTTCCATTTATAATTATATATTTATAGAACCCAACCAGATGAGAAAACTATACTGATACCCATAATAATAATCTTTATTGATAAACTGCCCCTAAACTAGAATATAATACCTGTATTTCAGGGGCTAAAATAAACACACAATTAACCTGATGGCAAGTGGACCTCCACGTGTAATCTCGATATGTTTGAAAATGCAGATGCGTTGTCACCCTTGAGGACCGAATAGACGACTCGACCGGGGAAAGAGCAAGACACCAGCGTAAAATAGCAGGCTAATGCTGCTGTTTCATATGGTGGGTGAGTGGACAGGACCGGGCAATTATTTTGAGTGACGTTCATGTATCAACGGATTCTTTTTGTTTCAAAATCAATAGTAGATGTCTTTGGACCAAAGTAACAACTTACCATTCGTCGCTAACGCTGCAATGGGGTGAACTTCAATTTTTAAAAATTACAGGAAAGCAAGAAGGAATCGAAACACGTAATGGGCAGCAGCATCTTCATGATAACAATTCAAATGATTTTAAAGAACTGCGGTTGTCAGCCCGCTCGCCCAGCGTGCCAACTATGGCAAAATCAGCCCTATTAGGCAATCTATGGGGGAGGCCTTCAGCTGTGGGCTTTTATAGACTGTGATGATGATGATGAAGAAGAAAATATTTATTTTTTCCCGTTTCCTAATTATTTTACAACCGAAAATTTAAAATATGAAGTATAGTATTTAATGGAAAACTACAAATACGATTACGTAGTTATTTTTTTTAAATTACCATGTACTTATTGCTGGCTTATCAGTTATCACCCTTACCGTCACCGATACAGCTTATTAAAGTCCACTGCTGAACATATAGGCCTCCCCATAGATTGCTTCATAGGGTTGATATTTGCCACAGTTGCCATGCTTGGCAAGCGGGTTGGCAAGCGTAGTCATTTTATTTTTAGTCGTTATTAAGAAGACGCGGCTGCCCAATTCCTGATTTGTTATCCTCTGTCGCCTCTTACGACACCTACGGGATAATATGGGGTAGTGGATATTCTGACACCGCCAGAAGACGGCATTACTTTTTTTTAAATAAAATAGTGAACGGTCGTTTATCATCAATAGGACTGTTAGATGTAAGCGTGTTTTTTTACTATATTGTTAATAACACCTACCTTTCCATATATCTAATTTCTTCTTTGGCGACTCATCCTCTTTGCTTTTGCAATGCCTAATAAATTCAAAAAGTGACAGCAAGGTTAAAGTACACAAAAACATATAAACAAGAGTCTCTAACATTATTAGAATTATATAAATAACTTAAAAAACAAATGCAAACAACTTCGTCGTTGTCAGAGTGCGGACTATAACGCGCGACTATAGTGCGAAAAATAAACGTTTTCTACCGGTTTTGTGTTGCACAATATTACCACACATTGAACTTGAAAATTTTCGCGTGCAGTTTGAAGATAGCACAGAATAGAATAGAATTTTTATTCAATTTATATAATATTATATAATTATATAATTGATCAGCATTAACCGTCTGTTCACTGTTCCGTTATGCAAAGAAAATTATTTAAAAGAACTTAATATAATTTATCAAATTGCAGTCTCTAACGGTTTTTAAAAAAATATCATTAATAATCTTATTAAAAAGAAACAAAAGCAGGTTGTTCGCAAGTCTCTGTAAGCGGTTCAATCTCAAAGTGTCCGGCGATATGTGAGCAATTTGACCTACTTAGGCTCCATATCAGAAAAAATAGCTAATACTCTTACACAAAACGGCATTAACGTGGCATTCAAAACAAACAATTCTCTTAAGAATATTTGTAATAATAAAGACTACTACTTTAGACAAAAACTTATCTTTATTACTACTTTTAATAAAATATTTTGTACCCTTATTGGTAACATTTTACAGTGTTTGAAGAGACCATTAACGTCATCCCTGAATTTATTTTTTATTTTATTTCTGGGCAGCAGCATTCAGCAGCATGGTTATTATGTAGACAGATGTGGTTATGTGCAACTATTTTTTTAATTGAAGAGGGTTTTAGGTTTGGAGATTTAGTTACTAACAACTTAGTTTTACTAGCATTAAGGACAAGCCCAGTATCATGTCACCACCTTGTTGGGATATCTAGGTCTGACTGCAAAAAGTCACATGCCTTTTGTGGAAGACACGTGTCATCTGCAAACTGGTAGCACGTGCAATTGACGATGTAGCTAGTAGCTATCCATGTCATTGACGTAGGACAAAAAGTGCAAGGGTCCTAGTTCCGAACTTTGTGCTGTTCCCTCCGTTATCAACATCGGCTTGCTGTAGTTATTTTCAATCTTCACAAAAGATTTTCGGTTCTTCAGGTAATTATGGCACCAACTAGTAATGGACCACGTATGCGTACAATTGACCACATTTGTCTAATCTGTCCACTAGCTGTTCATGTAACAAAGTGTCAAAAGCACGTGAGAAGTCGATAAATAGGGCAAGCACCTGTCTTTTTTCATTTAGATGACTATTGACTTCATCAGTAAATTTTGATAAGAGTCCTGTTGTACTTTTTCCTGATTGAAAACCAAACTGATACGGGTTTATTATTATATGTTATTCCTATAAAATTTGTGTATTTGGTTGCTTATGAATTTTTCAACAATTTTATCAATTGATGAAAGTAATGTAATTGGGCGATAGTTTGAGTAGTCATCACGTTTTCCTTTCTTATGTACAGGTCTGACACAGCCTTCTTTCAATTTATCAGGATACAAACCACTTTTAATACTACTGTTAATTAGGCCCAATCATTTTAATGTCAGAAATCGCAATATTGTCAGCACCTGGTGCCTTTCTTAAGTTAATATTTTTAATAATTTTATGAATACTACTGGGGGTCGCTTTCAGAAAAAGTATACTGGAGTCTGAGATTTATATGTATTATTTTGGTTTCTTCTTCTTAAGGTGCCGTCTCCTTACAAAGGTTGGCAATCATTAGGGCGATTTCAACTTTTGAGACCGCTGCTCTAAACAGTGATCTTGTGCTCTTCCCGAACCACTGGCGCAAGTTCTTCAGCCACGATATCCTTCTGCGGCCAGGCCTCCTTCTGCCTGCCACTTTCCCCTGAATGATAAGTTGAAGGAGTTCATATTTTTTGGTGTTACGCATCACGTGCCCAAAATATTCCAATTTCCTCCTCTTTATGGTTGTATGTATCTCTGTGACCTTCCCCATTCTTTGTAGCACGGTGGTGTTTCGTACGCGGTCACTCCAAGAAATTCTTAGCATACGTATGTACACCCACATCTCGAACGCTTCAAGTTTTTTAGATATAGCTTCTGTCAGCGTCCAAGCTTCTAGACCATAGAGAAGTACAGAAAAGACATAGCACCGCGCTATGCGTGTTCGAAAAGAAATACTTAGGTTCCGGTCACAAAGAACTTTCTTCATTCTCGAAAAGGCGTTGCGTACCTGCTCTATTGTGCATCGTATTTCGAGGCTGTGATCTCCTGTTTCGTCAACCACTGTGCCTAGATATTTGAATTTGGTGACCCGTTCAAGACCCTGACCATTTAGGGATAAAGACGTGATAAGCTCAGGTGTTCGGCTTATTACCATGTACCGACATGTACTTTTTACCGCCTTGTCAAAGCTATTTTCGAAGTTATCTGCAATAGTTTTGGAGGTGCATCCCCTGTGCATCGAACGCTTTTAGTATAGCCGCATCAGTAGACAAGTTCATTCTCCCTAACATTTGATTTACAATAATATTTTTTTTAATATTCTTAAAATTACTATTTGTTTGCTTAATATAATATATGTTCTTTTTGGCTACGAGAACTTTGTGGACTTTGTTGTGTTTTTTATTATATTCTAGTCTAAGCTTAGAGTTATCTGGACTATTTCTCCAATTACGGTATAATTTGTCCCTTTTATCACAAAGACGAGTAATATTGTCGTCAATCCAGGATAAATTAAACCGCTTGGGGATCTTTCTAAGTAGTTTATAGGTTTTGATACTATTTTTTGCCGTCTGAAAAGAGTTATATATAAAATTTAGAATCTCGTCTGGGGAATTCATATCCTTAGACTTTGACCAATTCACATTTTTAAGTTCCCTTTAAAAAATTTCGTAATTAATTAGTCGTTTTGTTACAGTCTGTGAATACTCGAGCAATATAGGTGCGTCATCGACGCACGCAAAAATAATACCTAGATGATCGGCCAGTACAACATCGAGCACTATCGAGAACTGATGTAGGGTGGGAAATCGGGCAAAGATGTGGTCTAAGCAAGATTTAGTACCTAATTATATTTTGTGTAGTTTCAATTCTTGTGTATTCTGATATTCCACATATCAATCCATGCTCGCTGAGTGCTCCTACATATCAATCCTTTTTAGATCTATCTCAAGTTTTCAGATCTATGTTAGTGTCACCGATTAAAAGGAAGTTCTGTTGGCACTGTGCTTTGTTGAAGATCAACGTCGGTGTCATAATGCCACTCGGCGCCATCATTTTCTCACACTACGCAGAGTGTCTCTTGATATACCGATCGAATATATCATCGCATGAGGATGCGTGAAGGACGATCATTCTGCATCTCTGGACTATTATTGCTTGGATTATTAGGTTGCTATTACCATGGATTTAAATGTGCCTTAACGTACTCCTTTATAAAGAAGAACAGTTTACATCACTGGCACGTCCTTCCCACAAGCTGCTGACTTCTCCAGGCGAGGGCAATACAGGCGGTGGCGTAGGTATGCAACCAAGGGCCCCGGGGCAAAAATATTATTTGGGCCCTCCGTGAACTAAACTAAATACTTTAAAGGTGCAAAACGTCTTATTCATCAGCTTCTAACAGTCTAATACAGGGCTTAATAAAGAAAAGCTACTATGTAGTATCTGTAAGGCGGCAGATAATATTCAAGCATACTTCTTAATCTATATATATATATACAACATGTAACATAATTAACGCACTTTGAGAAAGTAGTTTGATCAGAATCGTTTACTGAATCGATTCCTACCATTTTTAATATAGGTAATTTTTTATCCCAAAAATAATTAAAACTACGTAAATTACAGTCACACTAAATCTGTACAGTCAAAAGAAACTGAAATGGACCGTAACTTAAGGCAATAAGACTTTTAAGAGAGCAGTTTTATTTGTATTATTGCTAATTCTATCATTCAATAAAAATAAATAAAAATGAACTTTATTTCAAGCAGTTTAAAGTCTTTGCGTTCGTGGATTTGTACTGTGACCACAACAGTCTTCCGGAACTAGTATAACTAATGTGATAAATAATCAGTGCATAAAAATGTTTAACTAAAAATTCAGTGTATATATTATGATTATAACATAATATACTAATTGGGGTGTCTGAGGGTGTGCGTTAGTTACGTTACATATTGTATATATACAAAAGGTGATATCCTGAGTAACTGACTCACCTAACAACGCACAGCCCAAACTGCTATACGTAGAAATCTGAAAATTAGTCAGTAGCTGCCTTTACAACGTAGGCGTATACGTGGTAGAGCCACGCTACAGCTATGTTATGGTTGTAGCACGAATTGGTCGACTCGACCGGGAAAGGACCACGCTCTCACAGAATACCAGCGTAAAATAGCAGTTTAATACCGCTGTGTTTCGTATGGTGAGTGTAAAGATCCGGAGACCCTTTTTTACTAGAAACGAGGCATTCCGTCTTAGTCCTCAGGGGTGACAACGCATCTGCGTTTTGATTCTTAATCAAGGATAAATGTAGATGTCTATAGGCCAAAGCATATACTTACCATCAGGTGGATTGTGTGCTCGTTTGTCACCCTTATTATATAAAAAATATATATAAAAAAGGCATCCACCAAGAAATTATTTGGGAAAATTCAATCTAAGGGGATGAAATAGGGTGTCATTATTTGTATGAACCATTTTATTATGCGGGGCGATTAACGTATATTAGGTGGTCAAGTACGCTGCAGCTATATTATGGTTGTAGCACAAATGGGTCGGCGCAACTGGGTAGTACCACGCTTTCACAGAATACCAGAGTAAGAGCTCAAACCACAGAACACAGAAGCTTGCAATTGTGACAACATAACTTCCTTTTAATACGTAGGCAAAAACTAAGATAGGATTTTAAAAAATTCAAACCCCAGTTTGTACGACACTTTATTTTACTGGACGATTGACTGGTGAGTAATCTGTTGATAAATTAAATGAATACGTAGTTTTTCATTTTTCAAAACATCTCCTTAATACCTACCTACTTATTTCTTTAAGGCCTCTGCCTCG